CGACCTTGTGCCGACAACCAACTCGCGGGCTCATCTCGAGCTTACATTTTCGCTAATTATTACAACCAAAAGTCAGATCTCATCGATCTGACGATCGATATAATTAAAAAAAACTTAGCGCTGTTATTCCAATTAAAATTAACATTATGAATAAAATATAATACAAACTAAAATAACTTTACATAACATCGCTAAGTTTTTTATGTTGTAATTTGATAATTTTATTATATTTTTCATTGCCATTTTCACTTTTGTTATTTCTTATTTCTTTTTAATTAAATTTGATTTATTTGATTAGTTATAATATATAATTAATTTAAAAATTTTTTTTTAAATAATATGTAAATCAGTGGTAGGATTTACTTGCAACTTTTGGCCGGATTTCTTGACTCACGCCTACTGCTCCCCTCTTACTGCTTGGGTCTTAGCAACGCAGCGCCGAACGCTCGTAACTAAGGAGCGCGTCACTTAGTCTCAGGAACGTGCGTATCACAAATGTAATAGCGCAATACTCCAGTAGCAAAAGTTCTCATTAAAAGTTGATATTTGAACGAGAAGGGAACCAATCGCGAGCGTAACAAAAACTGCAGAATGCTCGCGATTGGTTACACTCTCGTTCCGCGTTACGTTAATCCGCGTTTCCGCGCTTCATGTAATGGCACCCTAAGTGACGCGCTCCTTAGTTAGGGCATTCCCGATTGTATAATTACTAAAACTTTAAAGATTATTGTAAATATAATAAATATTAAAACATTTAATAAAATTCGATAAAATTAAAAGTAATACAACTAAATTTAATGCGATATATTATGTTAGCCTCAGATATTTTCTGTAATAAATATAGAATTATAGAATAAATTAGAAATAAAAATTACCTTAATTCCCTCACACCAATCACCAATTAAAAACTATTACACTGTACAAACTATCACACAGTAAATCGCGTTGAGACAACGAAATCGAGAATCACTGTGCGCTGTGCTACGGTCTGCGTAAAAGTGTATGTAAAACGTTCTTATTCTTCTTAAATATTAAATGTTTTTACTTCATTCGCTCTTCACCAGCGCCTTTGTATTTGTAATGTTTATTTTGTGGAAGTATATCCAAACAACTTTACCGTAAGATGTGTTAACATATCATGTATTTAATATGCCAACAAATTATGTATCTATTACGTCACCCGCCGAAACGCCGCGTCGTTTCGCCCAGGGGAAGCGACGCGTTTACCGTAATAATTACCCGCCAAAAACAACGCGTTGTTATTCTCACCCGGGGGCGAACGACGCGATTACCGCTAGACGCTCGGGTATAAAAAGGCAGCATTTCAGCATCTCATTACCAGAACGATTCCTGAATCCTCTCGAGCAGTACGCTCCGAGCCGACACCAGAACCGATCCTGAACAACCGCATACGAGCGAAGGAACGTGAGATTGACGCGTACGCAGTCTCCGCCGAGCATTCTCGGTCTCCTCGCCGCCTGCAAAATCCTCTCGAAGATCCGACCGCTACCACTAAACGGACCGTGGGCCGGCGAGTTCGCCGCTCCGTCGAGACTTCTCGACACCCAATAGCAATCCTATATCCGCGCACGGAAGCAAGGGACGGAGAGTTCTCCGCCCGGTCGAGGATTCTCGATCTTCGGTCGCATTCCCCCGCACACCTGGGAATACGCGGATAAGGACCGCGAACGCACCGACACGGTTTTACCGTGATCCGACTATTATAATCGCGCCAAGATACTCAGCCGTATCACCCGATATAAATCCGCGCCGTCAAAATAAACACGGCCTTGCCGAACACGCGCCGATCGACCGCGCCTTGTTTTTTTTTTTTGCGCAATTCGAGCGCCGTCAAAATAAACATGGCCTTGCCGTACACGCGCCGATCGACCACGCCCGATTTCTTGCGCATTTCCCGCGCCGTCAAAATAAACACGGCCTCGCCGTACGCCGCCGAATAGCACCAGCGGTTCGATATATCGAACGTCGCGCACCGAATAACGAGATAAATCTAACACGTTGCATTATCCGACGCGCGTTAGATTCACGCAGTATCGTGTAACTCGACCATTGCCGAAAGAGGCCAATAAAGACGCTACATTACATTCAAAGCTTTCGTGTGTCTCACCTTTCACAAGCTCTGATCCGAACCGAGTCATCCGCGTGCTCGCGAAAGTGACCCCGTTACAAAATTTATGACATACATGCGTGCGTAAGTATTGTGCGCGCGTACGTATATGTGCGTACATGCGTGTGTACGTTGCGTGTGTGCGTTGCGTATGTATGCGCGTGTGTATGTATGTGTGCGTGCATATACAGTGAACCTAGAATAGAACAATATGGCGTCTTGCGAATAGAGAAACATCTAGCGGCGTATCAGTGAACCTGGAAAATGGCCTAGCAACGTAATCTAGCGGCGTATCAGTGAATCTGGAAAACATGGCGTCGACACCTTTTTGGCCGAAAAATTCAAATGAAATATCAAGATCTGTACATCAAGTGCACCTACCAGTGTCATTTTCATATTATTATATTCGGAAAAATCCACGTTGTCGATTGATATGTTCATCTCTCGAAAAGATGGTCTGACGTACGAGATATTTCGAATTCATTTTCTAAAATTTTCAAAAAACGTCCTCATTCCGGTAAATGATACACGGTAGCGTCTGTTTACAGTAAACAAAAAAACGACGAAAGATATACTTAGCGAGACGCTACCGCGTCACTTGATATGTGTAACGCGATACTCAGATGCAGGTCGCGGTTGTCTCTTTCTTGCTTCATCCTGCTCGTCTTCGCTGCTGCTACTTGCGCTATAGGCGTTCCTTTTCTGTTGTCGCGATTTCTTTCGGTCGCGTATATTTTCTTCGCGCGT